ACCCACTGCCTCACCCGCCAGAGAACCCCTGGATTGCCCCCATCCTGCCCGGCCCCCACAGGCATCTCTCCTCAGGAGCAACATTGAAGTGGCCACACCCACTTGGCCACGCCCATTTGGTGGACATGCCCACCTGGCACACCCATTTGGTGGACACACCCACTTGGCCACGCCCATTTGGTGGACACGCCCACTTGGTCACGCCATTCGGTGGACACACCCACTTGGCCACGCCCATTCGGTGGACACGCCCATTCGGTGGTCACGCCCACTTGGTCACGCCCATTCGGTGGCCATGCCCCCGGCACCCGGCGATGTATAAGTGGGTTTCAGGTTGCAGTTTGGGCACTCGGTCTCTAAAAGGTTTGCCACCACTGATCTAGGTAATGCAGACCATAGCCTAGGAAACCAAAGTTCTCCTGATAGCACCAGTTTTTAAGCCAGTGGTTTGTTTCTAAAATCTTTTGCTCCCTCATTGGATGTTGGCCTTTTGTTGGAAGTATAGATGAAAACACTACTTCTGCTCCTAATTCTTTAACTTTCTTTCCTAGCTGTTCGTAATCTCGTTGTTTTTAGATTCATTGTGTTATTGGCCACCACATGTAGAAGAAAGAGGTAGTAATCTATGGGGTTGATTATTTTAGTAAGGTTCTTAGTTACATCTAAAAGTGACATGTTTCCATCAGTCTTCCTCTTTAGATTCATATATAGGGTCATTTTTTTCAGAAGTTATTTGCTCCTTATTGTGTTCAATTTCGATATATTGGTTTTCTTCTTTTTGTTCATATATGGCAGGGGTGTCAAATTGCCAGCCCGCAGGCCGGATGTCGAAACCGCGCCCACCCAATTGCCGGCAATGGCAAAAAAGTCACGACATGTCACGACACGTCACATGACATTGCGATTTTGACACCCCTGATATATGTGGTCATTTTTAGAAGCTATGTGCTCCCTTATTGTGTTTAATTTTGGTGTAATCTTTTTGTTTAGGTTCTCACTTTGTTCATTGAGTTTCAGAGTGGCTAGAGTTGCTTCTAGACCCTTTACTTTTTCTTCTAGTAATTTATATAATTTACATTTTATACATATATAGTTTGAGTCTTCTGTGGGCATAATCTCAAACATATGACCTATTTTGCAAGTCTCTATAATGTTAGTCTCTATGTCCATGATTTTTTATTAAAAATTAAAAATTTCTAAAAAATGTATTATCCTTATAGTGAAGTGTCAGTTTATAATAGTTTACAAAAGCTCTTGACCCTTTGTTCTCTGTCTTCAAAAATTCATCACTATCTTCCCTATTCTAAGTGTCTCTTTTTCCGTGATTTTCTTTTTCCTCTTAGATCAGGCATGTCAAACTCACGACGTCACGTGACGTCACACGACGTATTGGGACTTTTTGCCCATTGCCGACAGTGGGGTGGGCGTGGTTTTGGTGTGACGCATCCTGCCCATGGGTCGGCAGTTTGACATGCCTGTCTTAGATCATTAAGAATTTAAAAATTTCTAAAGAATTAAAATAAGTAAACTGTTTTTCAAATGTTTAGTTGAAAAAAGAAATTGAAAAACTGAAAAAAATTGAAGAGAAGTTTATAAAAAAAATGAAAAGAATTTTAAAATTGAAAAATAGAGGGCACCTCACCGCTTCCACTCAATTGCAGACTGGGTCACTGGGTTGCCTCTCCGTCTTTCATCTGGGCTGCTGAGCTCTCATCTGGGACACTGGGCCGTCTTACTGGGTTATCTCTCAGCTGTGCCGTCTCTCAGTTAGAACACCAGGCCACCTCCAACATTTTAAAAATTCTAGAAGTTTATTTTCATAATTCCCAAAAATTATTTTTTTTAAAAAGAAAATTTAAACTGAAATTTCTATTCTTAGATGTTTGTCTTCTAGAATAATGAGTAACAGAATTGAAGGGACAGTAACAGAATTATACTGTTTTAGAGAAATAGTTGTCCAATCTCCTCTCAAAAACCTCCAGTGGTAGGGAACCCATGCCATTCCACTGGTTAATTGTTTACACTGTCAGGAGTTCTGGGAGTTCTGAGTTCTCCTTTTGGTCCCTTTTGGGGCTAATATTGATGTTGCCCTCTTGATATAGTTTGTAATCCACAGATGTATTTAAAAAAATGACAGATGAATAAAATTTGAAAAGGAAAAAAAAATCCCAACTGAAATAAAAAAGGAATAGTATCTCAGCTGAGAATAAAAAATGAAATGTCAGCTTGTTGTTAGTGTAAAAAAGGATATCTATATCTAATCTATATCTATGTATCTATCTCTATATACCTATATACCTATATATCTATCTCTATCTCTATCTCTACAGAATAGAATAGGATAGGATAGGATAGGATAGGATAGGATAGGACAGGACAGGACCTTGGAGGTCTTCTAGTCCAGCCCACTGCTCAAGCAGGAGAACCTATACCATCTCAGACAGGTGAATGTCCATTCTCTTCTTAAAACTATCCAGTGACGGAGCGCCCACGATTTGCTTGTCCTCACTGTCAGGAAGTTTCTCCTTAGTTCCAGGTTGCTTCTCTCTTTGATCAGTTTCCAACCATTGTTTCTCGTCCTTCCCTCTGGTGCTTTGGTGAACAACCTGCCCCCCTCTGCCTTGTGGCAGCCCCTCAGATACTGGAACACTGCTATCATGTCTCCCCTATTTCTTTTCTTTAGACTAGCCAAACCTAAGTCCAGTAGCCGTTCTTCATATGTTTTTGTCTCCAGGCCTTTGATCATCTTAGTTGCTGTTCTCTGAATTTTTTCCAAACTCTCAATATCTTTTTGTGATAAGGTGACCAAAACTGGCTGCAGTATTCCAGGTGTGGTCTTACTAGGGTTTTATAAAGCGGTAATAATACTTCGTGTGATCTTAATTCTATGCCTCTGTTTATGCAACCCAGGATTGTATTAGATTTTTTGGTTGCTGCTACACACTGCTGGCTCATAGTCAAGTGATCGTCCATTAGGACTCCAAGGTCCCTCTCAGAGTTACTGTTTTTAAGCCAGGTCTCGCCCAATCTGTATTTGTATCTTTGGTTTTTCCTGCCTAAATATAAGACTTTGCTTTTCTCCATATTGAAACTCATTTTATTGGATAGGGCCCATTGTTCAAGTTTATCAAGATCTTTTTGGATCCTGAGTTTGACTTCTTGGGTGTTGGCTACTCCTGTCAGTTTGGTGTCATCTGCAAATTTGATGAGTTCCCCTTCAATTCCCCCATCTAAGTCATTTACGAAGATATTGAAGAGTACTGGGCCTAAAACGGAACCGTGTGGTATCCCACTGCTTACTTCTCTCCATGTGGATATAGTGCCATTGAGGACTACTCGTTGAGTATAGTTTGTTAGCCAGCTACAGATCTATCTGGTGGTGATGTTGTCTATTCCACCTTTTCCTAGCTTACTAAGGAGTAGGTTGTAGTCTACCTTGTCAAATGCCTTACTGAAATCTAAGTATACTATGTCCACTGCATTTCGCTGGTCTACTAGTTTAGTCACTTTATCGAAGAATGAGATGAGATTGGTTTGGCATGATGTTTATATATATACATATATTGCAAGGATTATATAAAGATAAACCACAAAAATCCATAAAGATATTTAAAACCTTTAAAAATATTATGAAAATACTGCAGTTCTGATCATTTGTAATCCACAAAAGAGGGTAGAGTGATAATTGCAGCCCAGGGCAATAAAATTTAATATCAGGGCAATAAAGTTTAGGGTCCAGGCAGAAAAGGTTTAAAATCTTCTAGTGATAGTTGTAACAACTATTTAAAATGATCACTCAGTTTTCTCACGAACATTCAATATATACAAAAAATTATATTCATTAATGATTTAGTTATTATAAATCCTGATAAATATGCAGGGAAAAAAGAAAGGAAAAAAGGAAAAAACAGATCTAATTCATTAGAGGGCGGAAGATCACTTGTGCAAATAAATCTGTTTCTAATTCATTTTTCAATTATGTCTGTGTAAGTAATAAGTAAGTAAGAAAAACAGTAGTTTATATAGAGAAAACAATCTCCATGCTAAGATGTTGTGCTGAACATTCAGCAAAAACAAAGGAAGCTGTAGACAGAACTCAGCAGAATTAGCTTTGCATCCAAATAAATGTTTTCATTCCAAGTTTTCTTCTTCTCTCCAAGTCGTCTTTTCTTTCTGTGGGTGCAATTCTGTGAATGCTTAGGGTTGTTTTTTTTAAGCTTTTAAATAGATTATTCAGGAGAGCCCTGCTTCTGCATGCCTGCTGCTTCAATAGCACATTCTCTGTCTGGTCCCTACTGCCTCCCATGCAGCCCCGCTAAGCAAGGACTAGGTGGCGGTGTAGTGACAGGGTAAGTTGATAAACGATTACCCCCCTCCCTTCTTCCTTATCTTCTCCCCCTCCGTTTGCTTCTCCCCCCCCCCCCCCCCCGTCTCCGCTGCCTTTCTTTCCTCTCACGTTGCTTCTCTCCCTTCTTCGCTCCTCACTCTCTTCTTCACACACACTCATCACGC